ATTATATATTTAATCAGATCATAATTACACCAAACCTGTTACAGCTATCATTTATCAGACCACAGATGCATTATTAATTTTATAAAAGGTGGCTATGTTTCTTGGTATTTATACTTACGTTCCTCTATTACACATTCTGTATTTCCTGTACACTCAGCAAACACTTCACCTGGTCTTTGTTCTTTCCTGGAGAAATGACCCATGCCTTCATGCCCTTTGCCATCCTGACTGAATTAGGTTCTTGTAGTTTCCCATGACTTTAATCTCAGAACACATTAACACAAAGAGATGTCCTAAAGATCACCTAATCACCAGAATTAGCACCACTCTTCCATCCACTGTGGAGAAACAATCCAATTCTGCTTGGTAATTATAACCAATCACTCCACCTAACACAGTTATTCTATTCTTAGACTGTTGGGTAAAAGGTATCAGAAGCCCAAAGTGGCCAGGAAGAAGTCTGAGTTTTCAGTTCAGTGAACTGTTTGTTGTCTCTTGGCAGGAGACATCCCTCCTTTACAACCAAAACTTCTAGGCCAGCAGAATTTAAAATTTGTGGAATAGGAATAAAACAATCTTTATAGTAGCTCACTAGGGATGATAGCAAGGGGAACCATTCACTCTTCACCTCTTAACTCCTGGACCTATTGATTCTGGAAAAGAAGAAAATATACCACAGGGTAGACAATGATTTGAAGCATGTATCACCTTCTAAAAAATGCTTCTCCAGCCATCCAGACTGCTCCTGCCTCACTGGTACTGCAACTGTGTCATAAAAAGACGATTCCATCTCTATCAAGACAGCTGATTCAGGATGGTGGGGAGTGGTAAGACCAGGGGAATCCATGATTGTGAGCCCACTGTTATATTCTGTGGCTGTGAAGTGAGTTTGTTGACCAGAAGTAATTCTGTGTGGAATAGCATGTCAGTGGATAAGTCATTCTTTAAATCCACAGATGATGGTCTTGGCAGAATCATTACACATAGAATGGCAAATCCATAACCAGAATAAGTGTCTGCTAGTAAGGACAAAGCATTGTTCATCCCATGTAGGAAGTGATCCAATGTAGTTAGCCTGCTACCAGGTCCTTGCTTAGTTATCCAGGAGAATGGTGTCATATCTAAGGCTCAGTGTTGGTCTCTGCTGCTGGAAGATTTGGCTGGTCAAATCCAGGTCAGATTTGCTGTGGTCACTAGTATCAGGTCCATGCATAATTACCATCTCTGTTACCATTACTACTTTGTTCATAGTCCCTGTACTTACTGGTCTTATGTCAACTCAGCACACAAACTAGAGTTTATTGAAAGAATGGAATCTTAGTTGAGAATATACTTCCATGATATCTGGCTGTAAGGCATTTTCCTAATTAGTTATTGAGTGGGTAGGGCCCAGCCCATTGTGGGTGGTGCCATCCCTGGGCTGGTGGTTCTATAAGAAAGCATACTGAACTAGAAAGGGGAAGGAAGCCAGCAAGAAACACCCCTCCTCTCCAAGGCCTCTGAATCAGCACCTGTCTCCAAGGTCTTTCCCTTTTGAGTTCCTGTCCTAACTTCCTTTCATGATGAACAGCAATATGGAAGTGTAAGCCAGATAAGCCCTTTCTCTCCAAGTTGGTCTTTGGTCATAATGTTATGTCCCAGCAATAGAAACCCCTAATTAAGACAACTTTGTACCTATCTAGTGGGGTATTGCTCTGACAGCCCTACTATTGTTTGAGGAGGATTGTGAAAGACTTTGAAATTATGGGGTAGAAGAGCCACTGAGTATTGGCAGCTCAGTGTGATGATCTGTGGGATCTTGGTAGAGACAAACCTTAAGAGCAATGTGGAGGATGGGGGCCTGGCACGTGATGTTTCTGAGGGAAGTTTAAAGACTATATCAGTACCCACAGAAGGGCCATGTCCTAGATTTTAAAGCTGAAAGGAGAGGGGCTGAGGGCTCCAGGTTCTGATGAGCTTTAGGAAGAGGTTGGTCATTGCCAGGAGAATCTGGTGAGCATAGCAAGAGGCACAAAGGGAGGAGAGAGAAATGAGACAAAAGAAGGTCTGAACATAAAGAGTATCAGACCACTTGCCTGTGCATTGGCAGAATTTGTCCAAATCAGTGAGCATCAGGTAGTTGAACATGTCATTTATTGAACACTGAGAATAAATGTCAAGTTTATATCACAGCCAGGCCATATTGCAGTAAAAAATAAGGTAGTGAGACTTACTGAGATCTGTAAGTGTGAGGTGGGAAAGAGACTTAAAGATAGAAGCAAGTGGAACTGGGGAGTCACTTTTGGAATGGAAAGGGCCCATGATTGATCAAGTGAGAGAGACAGAGCAAGCAGGAAGAAAGACAACCTTGAAAAGGCAGCAGTAGAGAACTTCAGAGTGAGGAGGAGGTGGGAGAGACTTAGAGAAGAGGGCAAAGGAATCCCACCAGGAGAGGGATACTGATAGCACAGAACAGAGGCACAGGGAGGGATGCAGTGAGTGATGTAGGGATAGAGTCTCAGTCTGAGGGTGTCGCCATAGAGAAAAAGACTCCTCAGAAAGATGCTCAGTGAACAGATGTCCCTTTACAGAGGATGGGGTGCCCAGGAATGCATAGGGCAGCTACCTGATGAACAGCGAGACTTTTGTCGCATACACTTCAGGAGTTCAGAAAGACACAGAGAGAGCAGGCTCCAGTGATGCAATGAGAAAGACAGACAGACACAGAGGAGGAAGTTCCAAAATGTTACTTAAGCAAGCAGAGGAGGAAGTTCCAAAATGTTACTTAAGCAAGCAGGGGTTTGGGGGGCCCACAGAGGCTCCATAGTCAGGCCTTACTCAAGGTTAAAAAGTCTGAGCTTGCTTTACCCAGCAGGACTGCATAATAAGATTATTTAGCCTATAGAATAGTTAGGAGGTATTTTGAAGGATCTATATTTAGTTTTATATTGTGCTTTGATCTTGAAGCGGGGAGGTCTTTTCTTCCTCCCCTTGTTAATGGATGAAAAGCCCATCATGATTCAACTTGGTGAGACTGGGTATTGACCCAGGGCCCTCCTGAAGCTATCTTGTGTCTCTGTCTTTTTTTTTCATCTAGGCCTATATTGCTATCTAAAAATTCCTCATTCCTCACTTCTGCCCCCAAGAAGCTTTCAACAAGTCAGAGCTGGTCTCCTATAGGGGTGGACAGAGGAGTGGGCACAATAGGGGGATGTCTTAGAAAGGGTTTCTAATTCTGTGATGAAGGAAACACCAAGATTAAAAAGAAAATTGGGGAGGAAAGAGTTTCTGTTTCTCACATTCTACAGCACTGTTCATCATTTCAAGAATTCAGAACAGGAACCCAAACATGGCAACCTCCTGAAGTCAGGAGCTGATGTTGAGGCTATGGAGGGCTGCTTCTTAGTGGCTTTCTTAGAATGGTGTTCTTAGCCTGCTTTCATACAGAACCCAGGACACCAGCCCAGGGATCACACCACACACCATGGGCTGGGCCCTCTCTGTTTCAACTAATTCAAAAACTATTCTACAGTTTGGTCCACAGGGTCCACTTATGGAGGCATTTTCTTTATTTCTCAAAAAGGAAGGTTCCCTCTTCTCAGATGACTATAGACAGTGTCAAGTTGACATATATCTACCCAGCACAGAGGAGGAGAGATACGACTGGAAAGGCAGACTAGAATTTAGACTCGAATACTTGACAGGGGATGGGAGAGCGGCAGGAGCCAGCAGAAGCAAGTGATGGGCACACAGGAGTGTCAACAAATGAGCACTGTAGTTCAGTTAGGGTGGGTATTGCCCTTCTAAAATGCCCTGTGCTCTCTCCATGGTTACAGACCAATATGTAAGCCAGTGTAGGGAGAAACAAAAACTTATCGAAAATTAAATTGTCAAGGCTACCTCTGTCTGGGGTGGAAAATGAGGAAATGGGCAGAAAAGAAAACAGATTTTATATGACAGCGGGGTGGATCTTGGGCAGATTCAGGCTGTCTGGATTGAAGGGGAACTGGGTGCCCATGCTTGAGGTAGCAGATGTTTGTGGGAAGCTTAGGGTGGCTCCTGGTAAACAGAAATGGACCATAGTGATCTGCTTCTCTGGAACACAGAGACCGTAAACTACTGTTTATTCAGCCAAAATTTTTCTTGTTAGGAACAGCACCTTGAAATTGGGGAGAGTTGCTTTGGAATAACACCTGCCTGATGGATCTCTAACACAACACTGACACAAACAGCACAGCTCTCATCCCAAAGGGAATAACAAATACTTTTTAAGAGGTATTTTGAGCAGCAATGACCTGAGAATACAGATTTAGGTTACCAAAATTCTATGCTCCAGTTGGAAGCAATTTCATGAAAACTTGACAGCTTAACCACAAAAAGAAAATCACAAATCAAGGCAAGTTTAAAATGCAGGAGTGGGAACCTCAGAGAAGCAGGTGCATCAAGAAGGGGGAGCTTCTCTACAGGCTCAAGATGTTATCTGCTGGCATTCTTAGCTTTTGGATTGAAGCTGGTTGTCTGCTAAGTGAATAGACTCTATTGTCACAAGGTTTAGTTCTGACACAGAGGGAGGAAACATGGCTGTTCCAGAGAGCAGCACTTAGCCCATGAGAGTCATTAGCCTCTGACCTGCAGTGTTCCCATCTCTCTACAGTGCTGAAATTCAGATCAGCCAGCCAGGCTCTGCAGACACAGATTCCTTTAGGAGTTTTCTTTCACTGCCAGACACAGCAGCTTCCCTATCAAGTCTGATAGCCAAAGAGAGGAGAGCAAGTCTCTTTAGAATATGCCCACTGCCTCCAACTACTCCCCAGCTCCACACTGAACTTTGAACCATTGGAAAAACAGCAGATGCAACCTTGAAATCCAGCTGCAGCTGCCTCATTGATTAGAACACAGTGACAGGTGTTTCAGCTAGTTAGATTTTCTAAATTCATGTTACCAGAAATCATCTTGTCTACCCACTTTCAATCTGATCATGGTGCACACCTTGTACGTGCCAGCATTTCCTAGGAGGTGGGAGGTGTCCCTGGTGTGGATAAATAGGCATCAGTGTGCAGTGGGAGAGCAGCATCCTAGGAGAACAGCAACCCCAAACATTAGGACTCATCTAAAACAGATGCTGGCTGTTGGCTTCAGCGCTCCAGGTAATGCTCAGGATTCCTTCTCTCTGGGGACAGTGGAAGGAGCCTTCCTAGGACTGTGGTATTGGCAATTACCTGGGTTCTTGGTTTGGAGGGTGGTGAGGAGTTGTTCCTGTGGTACTGGGTTGGAGTCAGAGGACAATTCTGGGGTGCATATGAATCTTCTCTCAGTCAGGTCTTCATGTCTACAGTAGAGGCTGGTGCCATGGGTTATGCTCCTGGAGAGTGAATGGAACCTGCTCCTTCTGACACTGCACAAGAAGGAAGTATTGAGATCTTGTCTACTCTGGGTGCTGCTGTCATACCTAAGGGGAGACAGGACAGTTGCAGGTCCCTCTGGGCCAGGAAGCTTAGGGTCTGGGATCCCACTTCCCCAACACATCATGGCCAAGAAGAGAAGCTCCACCATCTCATAGCCAGGAAGAAAAGACAATCACTCAGGCAAATTTTCTCCTGTACAGACAGACTGGCCTGTTTTCTGTGGAAATAATTGTGCAGTAAAACATAGTTGAATGCTTTTGAAAGAAATGGATGCATTAGTCTGACAGTAAACACAGAGTAATGGTTGCTGAAGTCCCTGGCCCCTCTGCAGGCATGTCACAGGCCTGGGGACATGTGGATCAGCTCCAGCTCCTTTCTGCCCTGCTCCCTCCATTCTTCTCCTACACTCTTCTTGTCTTCTCTCCCCTCTGTCTTCCCCTTGGCTCCCTCATCTGATCCCCCCCTCCCCCTCCTGTCCTCCTGCTCCCACTTCCCTCCACTTTCTCACTCCTCATCCTTTCTCACCTTGTCCTCTCTCCTCTGTATCCATCTTCCCCATCATCCCTTCCCTGTATGACCTACATTCTCCTCTGAGCTCACCTATACAGTGGACAGAGGCTAAAGTTTGGCCCCCATGTTTACCATGATCACAGGCTTTCAAATGTGGTCTTTAGGATGCTTGTATCCCCCACTCCAGGGGTATATGGAGGAGATGACTCTGTGGACATTCCCCACAATCATCCCAATACCCATAATAAGTCAGACACATTTATTAATAATGTAACCTGGGCCACTCACTTGGATGCCAAGAATGATCCACCTATTTGCTTTCTACCACCACACAGCCATCCCGACAACCAAAATGAAATCTTGTTCAGTCATCAGAGACTGGAACACCATTTATTTTTCTTCCTGTCAGGAAGCCTTCCAAGCCTGAGATAGAAAGCACCATGTGGTATCCTGGCAGAGCTGAAAGAACCATTCTCTATTGATCTTTCTAATACCTGTTCTTGGGGATGCCAAGGCTTTAATACTGCATCAGATGTCTGCAATGCTTCCTCTCAATTATCCCACCTCACATTCAGACACAGGAACCATATGCATCCCAGGGCAGTGAGATGTCATGAACTTGTCATGTGGAAGTTGGAATGGGGCATTTGCTGCTAATCTAATTCAAGGATCCTTCACTGAGTCCTTACTAGAAGTTGGTGATGGTGAGTGGAGGACAAGTATAAATTAAGATTATTCCCTGATTTCTAGTGATCTCTTATGCCAAGCAAAAAGAGGAAAGAAATTAAGATTGCAGAAGGCTTTTGGCCATCCTCAGGTCCTTTTCTTCCTTACTTTGTTAGTCTGGCATGTCCCTTTATCTCTATGGATCCTGATTTTCTAGTAGGAAAATTGACTACATCACTTCCTCCAGTGGAAACAGGCTATATGGGATCTGGTAGTACCATTTGAGAGGTCACAAAAGGAGAATGTGGCAGCAGAGCCTGGATACTGTACATCAGTACAGGCAAGGTTCAAGGACAAGGAGATGGTCAGGTCACCACCTGACCCTTCCAGACTCCAAAAATCTTTCTTTTTCAGACAGGAGAGCAGAGAAGATGGCCCTCCTTGTAGCTCTTGTTCTTTTGATGGCCTGGTTCTGCCCTGCTGTTCTCTGCCAACCAGATGGCTCATTGGGAAGAAACACTGAAGTCCAGGAAGACCAAAATAATGGGACACGAGTGGACAGTCTAACAATGGCCTATATCAACACTGACTTTGCCTTCAGTCTTTACAAGGAGTTGGTTTTGAAGAATCCAGATAAAAATGTCATATTCTCCCCACTCAGCATCTCAGTAGCTTTGGCCATCCTGTCCTTGGGAGCAAGCAACAACACCCTGGAAGAAATTCTAGAAGGTCTCAAGTTCAATCTAACAGAGAGTCCTGAGGCAGATATCCACCCGGGATTTGAGCACCTCCTCCACGTGCTTAGTTATCCGGGGGACCAGGTGAAGATCAGCATAGGCAGCAACATGTTTATTAAAAAGCATCTGGATATCCTGGCAGAGTTCAAGGAGAAGGCACAGATGCTCTACCAGGCTGAGGCCTCTGTGACGGACTTCCAACAGCCTCATGAGGCCAAAAAACTCATCAATGACTATGTAAGCCAACAGACCCAGGGGAAGATCAAGGAACTAATCTCACACCTGGATGAGAGTTTGTTAGTGGTGCTGGTGAATTACATCTACTTTAAAGGTGAGGATGGTCACTGTTTCAGGGGTGGATGGAAAGGGTGTTGGCTGGGCACCTTGTGTCTATAATCTGACCCCTAAAAAGGAGATGCCCATGGCCTTGGAGACATGGGTGCCTAACTTTTTATTACTAGCAGGCCTTACTTATCCTTTGGGATTTTTGCGATATAGTTGTGATTCCTGGTACATGCTCCACAGAACCCCTGAGCTCTCAGTCTAAGAGGGTTGTGTTGGATTGACTTTATCTTACTATCAGATTGCATCGCTCACACGTCCAGTCCTACCTGAGTGTGCTGAAGCCATGGCTTCTCCCTGCAGAGGTTGGTGTCTTAGTCAGGGTCCTATTCCTGTGAAGAGACACTATGACTATGCAAATCTTATAAAGGAAAACATTTCATTGGGGTGGCTCACTTAAAAATTCAGAGGTTCTATCCATTATCATCATGATGGGACATGGCAGTGTGCAGGCAGACATGAAGATAGAGCCGTATCTGAGAGTACTACATCTTGCTGGCAAGAGGAAGTAGTCTGGTGTGGAGTCCTACAAAGATTTCCTAGTGAGATCTCAACTTCTTTTATCTAACAGCTCTTCATTAGAGGATTGCTTGACCAGATGCATGGTTACAAAGTGATTGTAAGGGTCTACACTTGACTTAGTAAGAGGGAGTTCTTTTGCTCCACCCCTTGGCATTCCTATAAATAGCCCTTTAGAAGAGACAGGAGGTGCTGGTGGATAAGGATCCAGGCCTTCCTGAGGCTGCCCTGTGTTTCTATCTGTTTCTCTCCCCTCTATCCTTCTATCTAGTATCTCTGATATCCCTCTCTCCCCAAGAGTACCCTGTCATAAAATATAGGAGCGGGTCTCCCAGCTGGGCTCCCACAAATGATACCAGGAACAGGGACCACAGCCTTGGCAAAAGGAGAGAGAGGGAGTTGCAATTGTAAGAAGGCATGCCCCATAAGGAATTAAAAATGAAGGCAGGGATTTTTTATTTTGGGGAGTGAAAATAAGGTGGCTGAATGCCAAAGTTGAAAAGTGAGGCTTCAGTGAATATTTCTCTTTTTCTAGGTCTCTTTCTTTTTTTCTCTCTCTTAATTTCTATCTATAAAATTAAGGAAAAATAAGGTAGACTATAGGAATGTAGTGTAGAAAAAATGTAGAGTAAGAAGGAAAAAATATAAGGTAGAATATAGGGATATAGTGTAAGCTACAAGTGTAAACTTAGGATAAGATAAGCTACAAGACAGAGGAACTATGTCTTCGATTTTCCAACTACAGGAATATGAATACAAATTCCTGGGGAAGAAACATGGAAAAATCTATCTAAGGTGGGAAAAACAGACAGAAAAATATTCCTATGGAAGCTTTTGGCCTGTGACGAGCTTAGATTTAAGTCCTGAGCAGTAGAGGAAAGAGTTTTTTCTGAGGCAGTTGTGGGTGAATGTCACTTCACTGACATTGTGACTGTATGATAACATCATACCATCAGAATTAGTTTCCTTGGTCATAAAGCCAATAATAGGAAATAGAAGTCTTGGGGAAATTTTAGTAATCTTTCTCTTAAAAGCTAAAAGGTTTCTTTGGAAACCTTCGTAATTTCTAAAATCTGGAAGTTCTTCAGGTCTTTCTCAGATTTTTTTCTCTTTTTGTAAGGGCAAAAATTTAACTCACCTGGAAATAACATCTATTAGTATGGAGAAATCAACTGCAATTGCTCTAGAAAAAAAAAAAAAAAAAAAAAAAACCCTCTTGGAACAGGACAAATCCTCTCTGCTACTCCTATCTTTCCTTCAAGCTGCTATTAGGGGAGGAAATCAGAGAAGCTCTTTTTTTCTTTTCATATCAAAGAAAAGGTCTCTCTGAAAAAGCTCTTTGTCTTCTTTCTCTATTGGTAAAAAAATCTGTCTAAAAAAGCTCTATTTTCAAGTACCATTTTTACTTTTTCATTGACCCAATAAGGCAGGGGAACAAAGGGTTACCAAAATGCCTGTCTGAGTGTGAGCAGACAGACAGATGCAGCCCACTCTAGGGGACAATGCCAGGTGAAGGGAATGTACCTATCGATGCCAGCTCAGGGAGAACAGAAATCTCCCCTGGTAAGAGAACAAAATTTTGACTGAAAAACTTCCCATGGTAAACACAAAAGCTTGAATACAGTGTGAATAGAAGTTTTCTCCCAGAACCAGAAAGGCAGCATGGGAAATGTAGTTCATTTGTAACAGTGTGATGATATAGACAAAGGCAGCTTGGGAAATAATCTGTAACATGGGTTGTAACAGAATTACAATATAGAGAAAGGCAAGTTGGGAAATGAAGTCCATAAAAGAGATACCAGTGCAGCACTGACCAAAAACTCTGGGTTTTTTTTTTCCAGCTCAAAATGCTATTTTCTTTACAAGCTCTGTTAGCTTGCCTCTCAAGAACTAGAAACAGGCAAACAGCTTGCCAGTCAGGCGGCAATTAATATGCTAATGCTGTTTGTCAAGAAGTCATTTTGAAACCCTTGAGAAAACTAGGGAAAGAAGTCTATACAATGCGAAATTGCTTTGGATGTGAAAAAAGAAAAATCGTATAGGCAAATAAAAAAATAAAATGCTTGGGTTGTGCTTGAAATGCAAGAGAAAAACATTGGCATCATTGAAATGCTCATGATAGTCTTAAAAAGTAGCTTTAAAAAATTAAGAAGTCAAGCTTAGAGCCACTGATGAATTAGCCTCTGACTTCAAACTGTCAGGAAAACTTTTAGAATGACATAAAATCTGACTATAAACTCTCAATTTTAGAAATGATTTCCATATTTCCTATTTTGTTAATAGTTCTGTTAAGAAATCTCTTCTAGATGTTTGCTAATAGAGTTTGATTTGAATGTAAATTAGTTCTGTTAAGAGATTCTTCTAGATATGTGGTAAAGTTTATAAAGTAGTTCTACAAAGTTTCCATTTGAATATAAGATTGTAAAAAGTGAAATATAAATAGTGACATGCTACTTGTAAATATGTTGAATGTAAGTTTGTAAAAAGTGTAAATATTGAATACAAAAAATGTAAATGTTAAGCCGGGCGGTGGTGGCACACGCCTTTAATCCCAGCACTCGGGAGGCAGAGGCAGGCAGATCTCTGCGAGTTCGAGGCCAGCCTGGGCTACCAAGTGAGTTCCAGGAAAGGCGCAAAGCTACGCAGAGAAACCCTGTCTCGAAAAAACCAAAAAAAAAAAAAATGTAAATGTTAAATATTAGTTTGTGAAAAGTGTAAATTCAATATTTGTCTAGTGCAGACAAGTTAGGTAACACCAATTTTTAAAAGATAAACCATATCAAATCAGAAGCATCTTGAAGGTTTTATAACTCTTTTACCTTCAGATATATTTGAATGATTTTTAAGATAGTTTAAACATAATTTTGTGATCTCAGTGGGCCCTGGAAAAGTTAAGCAAAGGTATCATAATTGAGGTAGTTTTTCTGTCTTCTTTTGAGAAATTTCCACTCCTTCTCTTTAGAAAGGGGTAGGTCTTCCACAAAGGGATAAGCCTCCCACAATCAAGTTAGTTTGCAAAAGTGTCTTTATAATTAGTATGGGTTTTTGTTTACATCAGTGGATACTTTGTAGTGATTTGAAATGACTTTTCTCCTGGTAATCAAAATAGTCTCTTGAAAATTTTATTGAACATCTGTTAGGAGAGAGTTTTGATTTAGAAAAGGGCTTGGTTCAGCTAAGACTGCTGTAATCACCTTAGACCCAAAAAGTATATTGTATTTTTATTATTCTCTATTCCTTTACTGGGAGGTATGGCTGCTATGGAAATCACTGTGAATGATTCTAAGTTCTTAGTAGGGACCTAGGTCACAGGTGAGTTAAGGTCTGTACCCCACTCTTGCCAGAGGCTGGTAGGTAAAGATGGACAACTGTCTTCTTTATAACATGTATGTATGTAAAATTAATCAAGAAGAACAACCTAAGACAGGCACAGTGTGAGTGGTCTGGGGAGCCCTTTATTATATCACGAAGGGGGAGTTTCAGAAGCCCATAAAGGTTTCCTTGTGATCTGAGCTTGCTTTACCCAGCAGGGCTACATGAGAGGATTGCTTGACTGTGTGCATGGTTACAAGGTGATTGGAAGAGTCTACACTTGGTTGAGCTAGGAGGAGGTCCTTTGCTCCACCCCTTGGCATTCCTATAAATAGCCCCTTAGAAGAGACAGGAGGCACTGGTGGATAAGGATCCAGACCCTCCCAAGGACATCCTGTATTTCTATGTTTTTCTCCTCTCTATCCTTCAATCTAATATCTCTTTTCCCTCTCTGCTCATGAGTACCCTGTGCTAAAATGTGGGAGCTGGCCTCCCAGCTGGGCTCCCACAGTCTGGGACTCGGGCTGTATCTTGAGTGTTTATGAGACCTCAAAGCCTGCCTCCAGAGTGACACACTTCCTGCAACAAGACCACACCTACTTTAACAAAGCCATACCTCCCAATAATGCCCCACTCCCTATGAGCTTATGGGGGCCAATTACATTCAACCTACCACAAAAGTAGACTCTCATTCAGGCCATTCCAGCATTTCTGATATGCTCCTACAGAATCCATCTGCTACAGAACCTATGTCTCTAGGAGATTTCAGGTCCTCTGGGACTCCACCTAAGGAGCCTGCCTACCCAATTTTAAAGGGGGAAAGTAGCATGTCCCATAATTACTGAAGAGCCTTTCACACATTCCTATGCAGGACCTCTCCCTGAGCCTTTCTGTAATGCTGGACATGGACATGGAAAAGCAGGGACTGAAGAAAAGCCAGTAGTGAGAGGGAAGTGTCAGCCAGACAGTGTTCTGTGTTTAGTGTCTGGCTGATTCATGAAATTTTAGTTTGTAAAATTAGTAGTCAAGGCAGCCTATGGGGTCACAGTGCTGAAGACACAATCCTGGAATGGGGAATATGGGGTTGGAGCTCAGGAGATTTGGGAGAGTGGGATGGAATTGCTGTGGGTGAGGGTTAGTGGGAAGGTATCTAGAGCCAATACCCATAAATCCCCACCTGATAGAACAAAGAGTAAGACAAAGGATCACAGAATGAATACTGATAAAAAAATATTGATGTGGCTAGATCTGGGGTGGTTTGGGACTCTGGACTCTGGATAGGCCAGAGAAGAGGAGGGTAGGCTCTCAGAAAATAGACAGAAAACCAATTGGCCATGGACAGAAGAGGATGGGAGGACAGAGGACAGGAGTCCAGGATGACCACAGAGCAGCTCTGCTCCAAAGGGAGGGAAAGCAGAATGATGGTCTGAAGGATTAGACTGCAGGGCTTGGCTCTCTCTGCTGGGCCAGGACCTAAACTCCAAGGCTGCTTGACCCTGATGTGGGGATGTGTGTTTATGCTGCTGGATCCTGAGCACAAGAAATTGTCAAAATACCAGGTCATCCAGGGTGTATTACAGATGGTAACATGCACTTGGGATGTGGGGCAAGTCTAAGTAGGATATTTTTTATTTATGGAGGTGAACATAGCTCATGTAGTAGAAGACTCATTACCCATATCTTAGTCAACCAACTATAGGATCCTGGTAATCCAACTCTGGGGAGTTGCAGATCTCACCAGCTTCAATCTAAACCCACTCATGGCTCTGGAAATGGACTTCAATTATGGTGTTTCACACTGAGGGGCACCATGGTGTGGGAGAACAGTCTCTCTTGTCCTGTTTCCCCTAAAACCTGTTCCACAAGACATTGCCTTCTACACATGGTTCTTCCTGAGGAAGAAGGGATCCTCAGCTTCCCAGGCTCCAGTCTTACCACTTTCAGTCCCATCTCTCTGTTACACACCCCACCCTCAGATCCCTGACTATTTTTCAGGTATCTCATGTAGGGAGGCTATGGTTTTGAGTTCCCCTTTGCAAACCAAGCCTGTGGACTACTTCTCATTCATAGTTCCATATCTGCCAAGACTTTTTATAATCTATATTATGTGACTAGTAAGGAACACTCTGTGTTGTTGAAAATGCATTTACTCCTGTCAAGAGTGAGATAATGGGAGAAATGGGGTGGAGGTAAGGTCTCTCTGCTGATGGTACAATCTGATGACCTGCTCCACACTTAGGGAAATGGGAGATGCCCTTTGACCCTTGTTTTGCATTTGAATCTATCTTCTACTTGGACGAGAAGAGGACTGTGAGGGTGCCCATGATGAACATTAAGAACCTGAGCACACCCTACTTCCGGGATGAGGATCTGAACTGCTCTGTGGTGGAGCTGAAGTACAGAGGCAATGCCAGCGCCCTGTTCATCCTCCCTGACTTGGGCAAGATGCAGCAGGTGGAATCCAGTTTGCAACCAGAGACCCTGAAGAAGTGGAAGGACTCTCTGAGGTCCAGGTGTGTGTGCACAGGAACCAGAGCTGATCTGGCTCCCTATCCTGCTGTTGGTCTGAGGCCCAGTGTCCCTGTCCCTCAGAGTCTCACCAGTACCCAGTGTAATGGTTAGAGAGTCAGCAGGGACAGGTAGAGTGGAGGTGACTTTCCCTCTGCTGACTCGGTAGTTTGGGGCCTGATTTTGCTGTAATTTTGTTGTTCACAAGTTGACATCAGCTGGAGCAGGAGCTGAGGATTCCTCTGCATCTGACAGTCTGTAATTACAGGGAATCTTTAATGGGTTTTGAAAGGCAGAGTGAAGTGAGCCTGAGATGAGATCAGCTCTGAGAATCGGCTTTGCCCTGTGTAGCCATCTCATCCCCTCATTCATTCACCATTCACGGAATGATGACTTGAAGACCTACTATGTGCCATGCTCTGATTTAGACCCTGAGAGTATATCAGAGACTAAAGCACAACATTTCTTACCCTTAAGGACACATTTTGTATTTGAGGAAGAAAAAGAGGGGAGATGGAAATGCAACTAATCATTATTTGATTTGTTAAAAGATGAGAACGGATAAGATTTTAAGGGGATGGCTCAAGGATAAGGAAAATGGAGTCAGATGGAGTGAGCAATTTTAAATAGAAGGATCAGTAGATGAAGTTTGCGGGTCCACATGACAGGAAAGGACTGCATATTCTGGATCTGGAAGAAAAGCATTTTGGATAAGGGAAGAGCTGGTACCAAGCTTCGTTGCCTGCTCCTGTACACACTCTCAGGCATCGATGGGTAATAAATGCAATGGGAAAAGCAAAACCATGTGATGAATGTCGCATGGAAAGAGTACATCTCTCTGGTGAGAGGTCTGTTTATGGAGAGGTGCCTTGGCTACAATGTGGTTTGAGAGGAACACACAGTCCAGTGACTCTTACATTTCTCCTTTCATTCTCAGGATGATTGATGAGCTCTACATACCGAAGTTCTCCATCTCCAGTGAATACAGCATAGAGGACATCCTTCAACAGCTGGGTATCAGGGAAGTCTTCTCCACACAGGCTAACCTGTCTTGGATTACAGGGGCTGAGGACCTGAGAGTCTCTCAGGTAAGCCAAAAACACTGGGTGATTCTCATAGGTGCCTAAATGAGGATAGTGAAAGCCAGGTGTCAAGGGGAAATGTTAAATGTGTGAGAAAGCCTGCATTTCTGAGATTTCTCATCCTGGGAGAGCTGGATTATAATCTAGATATTCCTGCTGGAGAGCATGCAGCCAATCCCTCCTCTACCCACTGAGCATAATCTCACCCAGGAACTCAAGGTGGGAAAGAGGCTGTGCTTGGTCTTCGACAACCATAGGTCCAACCTGTGCTGTGTGTGGGTGCCATCCACAATTCCTTGAAGGGTAAGGCATTTCAGCCTCAGCTTCTTTACTGCAGAGCTGGTCCAGTACTTCTTGACTAGCACATAGAACAGTAACAGTAAAGGAAATAAGAAGAGATGAATGACAATTGGGATGAAAAGCTTAAGAAGAGCAGAAAAGATGCCTTAGGACCCCACACTACATTCCCAGATGCACAGCCTGACAATGCCTAGTGTTCTGTCCAGTGCCCACTCAGAGGCCTGGGCTCAGATATGTATTAGTAGGGCATGGCAGTCTGAGAATGAGAAGTTATGCCATTTGCATTGAGGTTGTTTGTCCCAAGGAGGCTGGAGCAGGAGGGACAATGAAGCCTGCACTTGATGCCAGCACCCAGGCTTTTCCCTGTGGGTACTCTGAGAATATTCCTGTGGATTAATGACTGATGTTGCCTACACCCACGCTCCAGTTTGTAGTGAGTTTGAGGGCACCACAGATTCTCAGAGACTGAGCAGACCCAGGCCATGCCTCATCTCACAGCCTGAGCAGAGACTTGGAAACACCAGGAGTAGAGTTCACAGTAGGAAAAACAACCTCTCCATCAGCTGAGGCCAGCAGTGGATGCTTGCTCCAGGAATCTGCTCTGCTGCCCCACCCCCGGTCTCCAGTGAGTGATGTCTTTCTCCTACAGGTGGTCCACAATGTTGTGCTGGATGTGGATGAGACAGGCACAGAAGCAGCTGCTGCCACAAGAGTCAGAGCTTTGGGATCAGCTCTAATTTCTAACCCTATGAAAATGAATTTCAGCAGTGTATTCCTGATGATTGTCTCTGACACAAACATTCAGACTCCACTCTTCATGGCCAAAGTCACAAATCCTAAGGGAAACTAGAACTTTCCAAGTGGTGAGGCTTCTTCCTAGGAGTAGGGATTAAGCCTGTTTGTGGGTCTCTATGTGCATTTTGGCCTCCACGCTCTGATTGGCTGTGGCATGCCGGGATGGACAATAACAGTGACTAACTGTATGACTCCCACATGCACGGGAGCCCTTGGACAATCAGTGCTAGGCTCCCAGTCCTCTTGGCAGCACTGGCTCGTGTTCCTGACCCTGAAATCTGCCTTTGTGGCCTCCCCATGCTGCCAATCTTGTATCTATCTCTATCCAAAACCCTGGGCAGATAGGCTCAGTCTCTATCTGGGCTCTGGTCTTGTCTGCCTTCAGCTTCCACAGGCTTAATGGAACTATGCAAATTTATAGGCCAATCATATGGATCTCAGCCCCAGTCCTTGAGATGAGAACCTGCCACTCAGAGTCTATTTCCAGAACTGGAGCCACTGCATGCCCAGTTCCTGCCTCAAACTTTGCCTCTTCCGGGTTCTGCCACCTACTGTCCCTTGTAGGGGCTCCTCACCCTGCCCACATCTGGCACAGTTTGTGTCTCTCACTCCTGCATCTCATGGAGTTGGTTGGCCATACCAGCTTCTTTCCCCATAGTACACCAATCTGGGGCAGAGGAACCTTTTTCTAGTTTCCCCACTGACCAACATCACACAAGAGATGGACAACTCTGCCTTCCTTACCCAAAATTCAGGGCTTGGAGCAAAGCATCAGTAAATATATAACTGTACAGAAATTACCCAGGCAGTGTTCACTCAGCTCCTGTTGGCAGGGATTTGCCCTCTAATGAACCCAGGATAGTAGATATTGTCACTCACCATCTGTAACTTTTGTGATATGCCTCTGACCTCTGTGCTATTATCAGTCTTTTTATGGATGAGGAAACTGAGACACAGAGAATCTTAGTCATTTCCCATGTCCTCACAGCTAGACATTATGACTGGAGGGATTTTCTTCCAAGTGTCCTGATGCCAGAGGAACAGTTTTTACCAAGCTGGCATTCTGTGCTTGGGGCATCACCTTGGTGGTGTGCAGGTGGATCATAAAACAAGGCTCTGGGTGCTTCACAGAGTACTCCTAAAAGAGTCTGTGGCTCATGTGACCTCTGTGCTGATGTCAGAGTAGGATGAGAAGGTGGTCAGATGAACAGAAAGAATGCTTTAGGAATGAGACACCTCAATGGAGTTATTTCTAATAATAATTGGGGGTGTTAGTAAAAGAATAAACAGTCACCAGATGTCAAAGCACCTGGCCCTGTGAGGATTCTCAAATGACTGAGAACTACAGGCAGTTTTGGATGGGTTAATGCCAAGGGCCATGTCATAGAACAGCAGATGGACAGTAATATTCAAGGTGTCAGCCCACCAGATGAATAATTCTCTGTTGGGAAATCTCATTAGGCATGGCCATGGGAACACAGACTCTGGAATAATGTTTGCTTCTCTCAGTAATTTTCACATATGCTATTGCAACTTTTCCCTAAACGGCTATGGGAATTCCCCCACTGATGTGTATTTACCTCATGAATATATTCCATTTACCTGGCTCATTTATATCTGTAGATTTTCAGGAAGATGAGTTCTCCTTAATCTGTATTCTTTTGATGAATAAAAATGTTTCTTTTGAGATTTGCTTTGTGACCAAGTATGTGGTCAATTTTAGAGTAGGTTTTGTCGGGTGCTGAGAAGGTATATTCTTTTGTGTTTGGGTGGAATGTTCGGCAGATGGCTATTAAGTCCATTTAAGTCATAACATCTGTTAGTTCCCTTATTTCTCTGTAAAGTTTCTGACTGGCAAACCTGTCCATTGGTGAGAGTGGGCTGTTGAAGTCTCCCACTCTTTTTTTGTTTTTGTTTTTTGACACAGGGTTTCTCTGTGTAGCTTTGTGCCTTTCCTGGATCTCGCTCCGTAGACCAGGCTGCCCTCGAACTCACAGAGATCCGCCTGCCTCTGCCTCCCAAGTGCTGGGATTAAAGGCATGCGCCACCACCAGCCGGCGAAGTCTCCCACTCTTAGTGTGGGGGTTTGATGTGAAATTTAAGTTTTAGTAATGTTTCTTTTACATATGTGGGTGCTCTTGTATTTGGGGCATAAATGTTCAGAATTGAGACTTCATCTTGAGGATATTTCCTGTGATTAATATATAATTTTCTTCTCAATCTCTTTTGATTGATTTTAGTTAGAAGTCTATTTTGTTTTAGGATAGCTACACAAACGTGCTTCTTAAGTCCAGTTGACTGAAAAGTCTTTTCCCAACCCTTTACTCTGAGGTAGTGTCTGTCTTTGAAGTTCAGGTTTGTTTCTTGTGTGCAGCAGAAGGAAGAATCCTGATTTCAAATCCATTCTGTTAGCCTGTGTCTTTTTATATGCAAATTGAGTCCATTGATATTTAGGGATGTGGTGATATTGCATCCCCCAATATATGGTGCACCTTAATAAACTTATCTGGGGTCAAAGACCAGAACAGTTGCTAGATAGACATAGAGGCCAGAAAATTGTGACACCCACATCTTTAATCCTAGCATTCTGGAGTTAGAGATCCATCCGGATCTCTGTGAGTTCAAAGCCACACTGGAAACAGCCAGGAATGGTGACACACACCTTTAATCCCAGGAAGTGATGGCAGGAAGCAGAAAGGTATATAAGGCATAAGGACCAGGAACTAGAGCCTGGTTAAGCTTTTAGGCTTTTAGCAGCAGTTCAGGTGAGATTCATTCCAGATGAGGGCTCAGAGGCTTCCAGTTTAAGGAAACAGGATCAGCTGAGAAGTTGGTGAGGTGAGGTTAGCTGTGGCCTCTTCTGTCTCTCTGATCTTTCAGTGTACACCCCAATACCTGGCTCCAGTTTTGTTTTTATTAAGACCTTCTAACAATTTGTGCTACAAAGGGATATTAATAAACAGTGATTACTAATTCCTGTTATTTTTGGTGGTAGTCTATGTATGTTTCCCTTCTTTGGGATTCGTTGGTGTGGAATTATCTATTGCCTGTGTTTTCATGGATGAATCTTACTTCCTCAGGTTGGATTTTTCCTTCTAATGCTTTCTGTAGGGTTGGATTTCTGGATAGGTGGTTGTTAAATATGTTGTTGTCATGCAATATTTGTTTACCCATCTATGTTGATTGAGAACTTTGCTGGGTATAATATTCTGGGCTTGCTTCCATGATCTCTTACTGTCTGTCCAAGACCGTCTGGCTTTCAGAGTCTCCATTAAGAAGTCGTGTGTTATTCTGATGGAACTGCCGTTATATGTAACTTGACATTTTTCCTCTGCAGCTCTTAATATTCTTTCTTTATTCTCTATGTTTAGTGGTTTGATTATTATGTGTCAAGGGAACTTTTGGGGGCTGGCGGTCCAGTCTATTTGATGTTTTGTAAGCATCTTGTATCTTCATAGGCATTTCCTTCTTTAGGTTGGGAAAGTTTTTTTCTATTATTTCGTTGAATACATTTTCTGTGCCTTTGAGTTGGTCTTCTTCTTCTTCTTCTTCTTCTTCTTCTTCTTCTTCTTCTTCTTCTTCCTCTTCTTCTTCTTCTTTTTCACCTACTATTTTTAGGTTTTATTTTTTCATGGTGTCTCAGATTTTCTAGATGTTTTGTATTATGGCTTTGTTGCCTTTAATGTTTTTTTGACTGACAAATATATTTTCTCTATCATATCTTCAACTTCTTTTCCAACTCTTGCATTCTGTTGGATATTCTTGCATCTGTAGTTCCTGTTTGTTTACTCAGATTTTGCATTTTCAGCATCCCCTTGGTTTGTGTCTTCTTTATTGCCTCTATTTCAATTTTCAAGTCTTGAACTTTTTTTTTTAAATTTTATTTTACAATACAATTCAGTTCTACATATCAGCCATGGATTCCTTTGTTCTCCCCCCTCCTGCCCCCTCCTCTTCCTCCCACCCACCTCCCATTCCCACCTCCTCCAGGGCAAAGCCTCCCCTGAGGACTGAGATCAACCTGGTAGACTCAGTCCAGGCAGGTCCAGTCCCCTCCTCCAAGGCTGAGCCAAGCGACCCTGCATAAGCCCCAGGTTTCAAACAGCCAACTCATGCAATGAGCACAGGTCCCACTGCCTGGATGTCTCCCAAACAGATCAAGCCAATCAACTGTCTCACCTCTTCAGAGGGCCTGATCCAGTTGGGGGCCCCTCAGCCATTGGTTTATAGTTCATGTGTTTCCATTCGTTTGGCTATTTGTCCCTGTGCTTTATCCAACCTTGGTCTCAACAATTCTCGCTCATATAAACCCTCCTCTTTCTAGCTAATTGGACTCCCAGAACTCCACCTGGGGCCTGTGCATCCAGATCCCACAGTCATTGGATGGGGTTTCTAGCATGACAATTAGGGTGTTTGGCCATCCCATCACCAGAGTAGGTCAGTTTGGGCTGTCTCTCGACCATTGACAGCAGTCTATTGTGGGGGTATCTTTGTGGATTTCTGTGGGCCTCTCTACCACTTTGCTTCTTCCTATTCTCATGTGGTCTTCATTTACCATGGTCTCCTATTCCTTGTTCTCCCTCTCTGTTCTTGATCTAGCTGGGATCTCCCACTCCCCCAAGCTCTCTTTCCCTCGACCCTCGCCCTTCATTACCCCCACTCATGTCCAGGTTATTCATGTCTTCAGCTGTTTGATTGCTTTTTCTTGACTTTCTTTAAAGGATTTATTGATTTCTTCCAAGTTTGTGTTTGACTTTTCCTTGACTTCTTTAAGGAATTTTTCAACTTCCTCTTTAAAGGCCTCTATCAACTTCATAAAGTCATTTTTAAGGTCATTTTCCTCTTCTTCTTCTACAATGGGATGTTCAGGTCTTGCTGTTGTGGGACCACTAGGTTCTGGTTCTGCCATATTACTCTTTATGTTGTTGAATGTATTCTTACTCTGGTGGTGTTTGTGTCTCAGGGAGCTCCTGGTCCCATCATAGCTCTTGTTCCATTTAGAACTGGAGGAGTCTGTGTCTCAGGGAGTAGCTGCAGTCTTGTGGGATGGGTAGGTTTGGGGGATGGAGTGGGGATTGTAGATTTCTGAATCTGACAGAGAAGGGGTGGCTGTCAGACCTGTCAGCACTTACCTGCTGGCCTGCAACTGGGGCAGCAATGGGTGGGGGTTTGGGGACATGGGTTGTGCCCCTGGGCCTAAGGCTTAGAGGCTGGATGACTGGCTGGGGAAACAGTGACTCACCTCTTGGTCCATCGGAACTGGCCCTAACTTGAATATTATATTCACTGGTATTCTCTGAATTGATGCTACATTTCATGATAAAGAAATTAAGGAAATAAAACACCAATATATGTACAAATACATTCTTAAGCAAAAAAAAAAATCAAAACCACTCCTGTCAATCATAATCCTTATTTCTGGAACTGGTCACACAGCCTTCACTGAATTTATAACTATGTTCCTCTGTTGGCCATTCTGAATTTCCTGCATAGTCAGCAAGGACCTCACCTGATCTTTGCTCTTTCCTGGAGAAGTGACCCTCACCTTCATTCCTTTTGTCACCTTACCTGGACTAGATTCTTGTAGTTTCTCATGCCTTTAATCTCAGGACATGGTAACAGAAAAAGACTCCCTAAAGGATCCCCCTAACCTCCTGATATATTCTTTCTTCTCTCCACTGTGGAGAAGCAATCCAATTCTGCTTGGTAATCTGAACCAACCTCTCCACCTAACAGAATTATTCCACTCATAGACTGTTGGATAAAAGGTATCCGAAACCTAAAGTGGCCAGGAAGAAGTCTCAGTTTTCAGTGGGATGTTTGTTGGTCTCCTGGCAAGAGCAATCTGACCCCTAGAAACAAAACTTCTAGGCAAGCAGAAAATCTTCAATTAGATCACTAGGGGTGATAGTGAGTGGACCCCTTCTTTGGATCTTTTAACTCCTAGACCTGTGTGAATCCTGGCTGAGGGAGAAACCATACCATATACAGGACAACGATTTGAAGTATGTATCACTGCCATAGCCCTCTGGACTGTTGCCACAGGATTCACACTGTAACTGCACCCCCAAACCACCAACCCACTTCGAAACCAAGCCAGACAGCAAACCAAAAGAGATCAGACTGCCACAGCCTCACCAGCACACAGAAGAAAGGAACGCACAAACACCGCCCCCAAAAATCCAAAACTGAATAGGCACACAACAGGAAGGCAAAGCAGACACACACACGACACCAATGCGACAAACAACCAAATAAAGCAAAAACAAACAATAGTCCCACTCAAGAAGGAACAAGCACAAAAAAACAAAAGACCAACCGGGAACACCACCACATACACAAGAAAAAAGCCACCATCCCAGGCAAGAAAAAAGGGAGCAAATGGCGGCAACATCCGACAAGCACAGGCACAAGTAACCAAGGAAAACGGGCCCACAGCTAGGCCACAGTGCTAAAATAATGCATAACCCACCTCGCAATCACCACCAAAACTAGCCACATCAGCACCACGCACGCGGCGCCCATGTCACCACACCAAAGGAAAACAAAAAAAACAATCAAAATAAACAATGGAACCATAAGCCAGAAGATGCCTCGGCAAAAGCCAACTCGGAACAAAAACAGTAAAAAGAAAGAAAGGAACCAGAACCCAGAATACGCTGCCAGAAGACATGCCTCGAAGGATGG